GGAAATTAAAGAAGAAATCAGAGAGTTCCTTCAATTAAATGACAATGACAATACAACATATCAGAATCTATGGGACACAATGAAGGCAGTCTTACGAGGGAAATTCATAGCAGTGAATACGCATATTAGGAAAACAGAATGAGCCCAATTAAACAACCTCATGCTGAACCTCAAGCTTCTAGTCTCTGTTCTTTACACATCTGGAATAGTTGGTTTAGAATTGGTATAACTTCTTCCTTTAATAGTGAGTAGAATTCATCAAAAAGTCATGTGGACCTAGTATTCTAGAAAGATATTTTTTGATTTTTTTATTGTAACAAAAGATAAATAATAAAGTTCACTATCTTTACCACTTCTTCAAATTTTTAAAATTGTTTAATTTTTTTTAGAAAAGTTTTTAGGTCATAGCAAAATTGAGCAGCAGGTATGAAGATTTCTCATACATTCCCTGCCCTAGATGTGCATATCTTCCATCATTGTGAACATCCCCCACCAGACAGGTATATTTGGTATAACTGACAAATCTACACTGACACATCATTATCAAGGAAAGTTCATAGGTTACATAACCGTTCATTATTGATATTGTAAGTTCTATGGATTTGGACAAATGCATAATAACATTAATCTACTATTATGGAATCCTACTGAATAGTTTCACCTTTCTAAAGTATACAGTTCAGTGGCATTGTGTGCATTCACTTTCTTGTAGAATCACTATCACCTCTCATCTCTTTTCATTAGGCAAAAGTGAAACTTTATACCCACTGAAAAATTATTCTCCCCTACTCTCTTCTCCCAGCTCCCAGCGACTACCATTCCAGCCTTTTCTCTATGATTTTGACTACTCGAAGCATACCATAAAATTGGAACCCTACAGTATGTTTTTTGTGACTGACTTTCTTCATTTACATAATGTCCTTGAAGTTTACCCATGCTGCAGCATATGTGATAATTCCCTTTCTTTTTGAAGCTTAATAATAATGTTTGTTCATCCAGTAACTATCAGGGAACATTTGGGTTGCATCCACACTGTACAGATTGTATATATTACTACTGTGAACATGGGAACACAAATATCGCCTTGAGACCCTTTCAGTCCTTTTAGGTATACACCCAGAAGTGTATTACTGAGTCAGACTACAATCATATCTTTGATCTTTTGGGAGAACTGCCGCACTGTTTTCCACACAGACTCTACCATTTTACATTCCCATTAGTGAATTTGCAATAGTACAAAAGTTTTAAGGTTTCTCCTTACTCTTGCCAGCACTTGTTTGTTTGTTTTTGTGTCTGTTTTTCAATAATTGCCATTCTAATGAGTGTGAAGTAATATCTGATTGTAGTGTTGATTTGCACTGCCCTAAGGATTAGTGATGCTGAGCAGCTTTTCCTGTGATTACTGGTCATGTGTACATCTTCTTTGAAGAAAAGTTTGTTCAAGTCCTTTGCTCATTTTTGAATTAGGTTTTTGTTGTTGTTGTTGTCAGATTTCTCCCTTTATTCTAGATATTCATGGCTTTTCATATATATGATTGGCAAATATTTTTCCATCCTGTAGGTTGCCTTTTACTCTTGATAGCATCTTCTGAAGAATACAATTTTTCAATTTTCATGAAATCCAATTTGTCAATCTTTGCTTTTGTTGCTCATTCCTTGTTTTTATCTAAGATATTGTTGCCAAATCCGGTATTATTCATGACCTATGTTTTCTTCTGAATATTTCAGTTTTAGGTCCCTAATCCATTTTGCATTAATTAGGTAGTATCAAGTAAAGCCACTAGTTTATTATGTTGCCTGTGGATATTCAGTTTTCTGATGCCATTTGTTTAAAATATTTTTTCTCCACTGAATGGTTTTGGCACCCATTCCAAAAACTACTTGCCCATATATATGAGGGTTTATTTCTGGATTATCTACCCCCATTTCATGGGTCTTTCTGATTATCTTTATACCAGTTCCACACTGTTTTGATTGTTGCAACTTTTTTTTTTTTTTTGGTACTGGGGATCAAACTCGGGACTTTGCATTTGCGAAGCAGGCACCAGAACCACTGAGCTAAATCCCCGGTCTGCTGCAACTTTTTAATAAGTTTTGAAATCAAGATGCATGAATCCTACAGCTTTGTTCTTTTTTATATTCTGTATTGTTTTGGGTATTCAGGTTAACTTGAGTCTCCATCTTAATTTTAAAGTGGGTTTTTATGTTTCTGCAAAATATGTCATTAGAATTTCAATAGGGATTGCATTGAATCTGTAGTTCATTTCAATGTCAACCCATGAACATAGAATGTACTTCCATTTACTTATGTATTTTTAAAGTTCGTTCAGAAACTTCTTGTAGTTTTTAGCATAGAAGTCTTTCATCTTCTTGATTTAATTAATTCCTTTGTAAATGGAATTGTTTTCCTAATTCCCCCTTTCTTTTCCCCAATATTGGGCATCAAACTCAGGACCTTGCACTTGCGAGGCAGGTGGGGCACCTCTGAGCTAAATCCCCAGCCCTCCTAATTCCTTTTTCAAAATTGTTTTGTTAATGTATAGAAATGCAACCGGGTACTATATTGTGAGTTGACTGTTTATTGCTACTTTGCTGAATGTGCTTATTAGTTCTAACTTTTTGTGTGGATTTTGTAGGGTTTTCTACATATAAACTCATATCATCTGCAAAAGGAGATAATTTTAGTTCTTTCCTTTCCAATTTGGATGACTTTTATTTCTTTTTCTTTCCTAGTCACTGGGATTAAGACTACTAGAGTGGACCTGACTGCCTTAAGGAAAAGCTTTCAGTCTTTTACCATTGCCTGTTGTGGATTTTTCATACATGTATGTTATTATATCCCCTTAGTTTGTTGAATGTTTTTGTCATGAAATGGTGTTGAATTTTTCAAATGCTTTTCCTACATCAGTTGAAAAGATGATATTTTCCCTTCTTCATTCTCTTAATGTGGCATATTACATTGACTGTGTTTTCCATTTAGGTCATGTGTTTGGACCATTTACATTCAATGTGGTTAATATTAGATTTAAGCTTATACCTTTGCTATTTGTTTATTTTTCCTATCAATCCTTTGTTCCTTTTCTTATTTTGTATGAACTCTTTGACTAACTTTTTGTTTCTATGATATTTTCCTTGCTGTGTTATTAACTATTAAATTTTAGGTTATTGGTCACTTAAGGTTTACAGAATGACTTTTTAGCAGATTAGTACACTTTCTAATACTATACCACTCGATATTTAGCATAAGAGTCTTGTAAAAATACATTGCCAAAGTGTATATTGGTATACTACCACTTTTTATTTCTGTGCTATTATTTTCATACATTTTACTTATGTTATAAAACCATCAATACATCACTATTTTTTGTTAAATTAATCAATTATCTGTAAAAAATTTAAATGATGAGAAAAAGTATACATTTATCAAGTTACTACTGTTGGTGATATTTATTCCTTGGGTTTTTGTAGTATCTATCTGATGGTGATGAATTCCTTCAGCTTTTGTATTTCTAAAAAATTTTATGTTTATTTCTGAAAAATATTTTTACTAGGTGTAGAATTGTGGATTGACTTTTAAAAATAAATCTTTCAGTTCTTTAAAGATGGTATTTTCTTCCTTGTAACTTTTCCAATGAGAAATTTACTGTCATTCTTACCCTTGTTCTTGTAGATGTTTTTGTATATATCTTTTCCACTGATTGTTTTTAACATTTTCTCTTTATGAATTATTTTGAGCAATTTGATTAATATGTGATTTGCTATAATTTTCCTTACATTTTTATGTTTAGATTTTATTGAACTTCTTATATGCATACAGCATATAGTTTTGATCACATTCGGAAATTTTTCATCCATTACTTCATCAAGTAAATTTTCTACCTTTCCTATTCTGAAGACTCCAATTAAATGCATAGTAAGCTACTTAAAATTGTTCCATGTGTCACTGATAAAATTTTAAAAATTGTTTTTCTATTTGTGTTTAATTTTTCAATAGTTTTAATTTCTATGGGTACAAGTTCACTAACAACTAATAACCAGTGAATCTCATTCAGTAAACTTTTTAAAGAATAACAACCCTTTTAGTTTTACCTCTGGATATTTCATTTGGGCCTTTTTTACATTAACCATAATTCATCTTAACTTTTTAAATGTTCTTATTCTCTCATTCTACCATCTGTGTCAGTTCTCAGTTGTTCAATCAATAGACACTTTTTCTAATTGTATGTAAGTAATATTTTCTTCTTTCTTTTCTTATCTGGTAAACTGTCTTAGTTACTTTTCTTGTTGCTGAGACCAAATACCCAGCCCTCAAAGTTAAGGAAGGAAAGATTTATTTGGCTCACAGTTTGTAGAGATTTCAGTCCATAGTTGGCTGGCTCCGAGGTGGGGTGGCATGGCAGACAGGCATCAAAGAGGAGAAACTGTTTGTGGTGGGAAGAAGGTAGCAAACAAGCAAGGGGCCTTAGTAGCCTTTTTATGCCCCTTTTATACCTTCTCTAGGTTACCAGGATTAGGGTGGTACCAAACCAATCAGTAGACTGATTTATTAATCACACCCCCTGAATCCCAGCATCACACACTCTAGATTCAGCCACCTCTGAAAAAGCCCTATGTATGACTGCATGAGGCCTTAGGGTGACATCTTGACAAAAACCATAACATAAATCTTAACTTGATGCTAAATAATTTTCTGTGTTGAATGTCTTTGTATTCTTCCTATTTCTTGAGTTTTGTTCTAGGAGTAGTTACTTAGCCACAATTTTATATTCTTCAGCCTTGCTTTTAATATTTGTTAGTTAAGAACAAATCAGTGTTTAGTATGGGCATCATTATTCTTCACTACTGAAACAGGGCCCTTCTGAATGCCCTCTTAGTTACAAGTTTGTCCATTCTAGCTGGTGAAAACAGGAACTATTCCCAGCTCTGTGTGGATGCTAGACACTATTTCCTGTAATCTTTTGGGTGGTTCTTTCCCCGTTCTTAAATGGTTTCCTCATATGCTTCTGCTGATACCTATTTTGTTAAATACTTAAAAGAACCTTCTGCAGATCTCCGCATGCCAGTCTTCACATCTCTTTCTACCCACTCCCCCTCCCCTTCCTCCTTGCTCTTCTCTGTCTCCTTCTCCTTCTCCTTCCTGGGGAGATTCCTACTTTTCCATATTCTACTTTTCTATATTCTGTTCTGAAAACTCTGGCTATGTAAGTATTCCTAGACTGCTGGTTCCATCCCTTCAAGTCTGGAAGTTCTACAGATTCTACATGAGTTTCTTCTCTCTGCTCCATGGCTTGGAATCTCTTCCAAGTGAGCAAGCTGAAGCAATTTAGAGCTCACCTTGTTTGACTCCAATCTTTCAGGAATTACTGTTCTTTGTTGCCTCGTGTCCAGTATCTTAAAGTTTACTCGATCAATATTGAGTCCTGGTGGTTCTTCCTTGGTGGTTCTTCCTGAAAAACAGAGCAGAGAGAGAGAGATAGGGGATAAAGAAAAGTGCTGAATAGACTCGAATAGGCTGCTCAGAGTCATCTATTGATTTATTTGAAGAGACACTGAAGGAGTCAAGAAAGTGAGCCATGAAGTTATCTTGGGGAAGAGCATTTGGTTCAGGGAGATCAGCAAATGGAAGAGCAGAAACTGACTTGCTAAAGCATACTATGGAGGTCAGCTGAGAGGGCTGAGAAGATGCGGCTGGAGAGAAAACCAGATACTAAAATAATGGGAGCCTCATAGAAGGAAGACCTTTTGATTTTATTTTATGTGTGACAGGAAGCTATTTTAGGATTGACAATATTGTACGTGTAGAAGAAAAAATGTAATTTTTTTTTATTAGTACATGCTTGCAATATATAACGTTAACATTGCTGGTGTGGAGTTGGTATATACACATAGCACACCTTAAATCCTTTTTTATCCCCTTTCTCTTCCCTCCCTTCCCTCTTCCTTCATCTCTTGATTCTTTTCCCAATGAGAAAGAGGTATCTCCTTACTTACTATTATCTATCTTTTACTTTGCTCTTTATAAAGTATAAAACTAATTTGGGTTTCTCAAAAAAGAAAAAGCATGTGATATTTAAACTTGTGTGTCTGATTTATTTCTCTTAACATTATGGTCTCAGGGTGCATCTGTTTTCCTACAAATGACTCAAGTAAAGGATAACACTAGGTGATGTGTAGAAACGTGATTGAAAGTAGTCAAAAGTGGAAGCAGATTCAAACAATGGTGATAACACTGGAAGTTGTAATAAATGGTCCAGTTCTACAGTATTTAAAAGAAAGTGTTGATAAGATTGGAGAGAGAAAGGGGGGGGGAGAGAGACAGAGAGAGAGGGATTGATTTCCAAGTTGTTTATGGTCTTCCTTATTAACATGAGTAATGACAGAGGAAAGTTTAATGAGAAGAAATAAATTATATTGAGTTTTAGATGTCAGTGGAATGTCAAATAAACCAGAAGTCCCCAACCTTCTTGGCACCAGGGACTGGTTTTGTGGAAGACAATTTTCCATGGATGGGGATGGTTTCTGGATGATTCAAGTGTAGTACACTTATTGTGCACTTTTTTCTATTATTATTATTATTGTCATGTATAATGAAATAATTATATCACTCAGAATAATGCAAAGTCAGTGGCAGCCCTGAGCTTGTTTTCCTGCTAATAGGTGGTCCCATTTGGAGGTAATGGGAGATGGTGCCCCTAAAGTGTCCTGCATACATCTAGTCTACTTTATCACTACAGAAAACCTTGCTTTGTAGACAGAATATTTAAAGGAGAAGTAGTTCTTAGATGCATTTGTGGCAATCTCAGGATATTCTGCCTTTACTTTAATCCTGAATGATAGGGATTTGAAGTTATCTCAAACATATTTTATTTGTTTGTTTGAGACAGCATCTCGCTCTATATTTCAGGCTGGCCTTAAACTCACTACATAGCCTAGGCTGGCCTCAAACTCATGACAATCCTCCTGCCTCAGCCTCTCCATGGCACTGGAGTTGGGGATCCCTGATGTTGGCAGTCAGATATTTAAGAGAAGTTATTTAAGTCATAAATAACTCAAATTTGAGTCATTACAATATGCACAGGATTCTGTGGCAATCACTAGGAATTGTGAGCCTCAAGGAGTTCAAAGATTAGTTCTGGTGCATTTTAAACTATAGAGGTTGGAGACCTGAAATTGAATCAGCAAAAGCTCAAGAAGCAGTAGTTGGTGAGGTGGGGAAAAAATCAGAAAAGTATGGTATTCTGGTTGGTAAAGAACACAGTCTACTTTTGCACTATATTAACAGCACTTGTCTCCATGATGGGATTCAAAGTGATGAAGACAAAACTTCAAAATAAAATAAATAACCATAAAACCTGTTGAGCTGCCTTTTTATTTTTATTTTTATTTTTTGCTTTGGACTATTATTTTTAAATTTAAACTCTAAAATGGGAGTCTAAAAGTTATGTTTATTGACATAATATATTAAGCCAATACTTTATGTGCATGATTCAACATGTCAATTAATTTTATCTTACAAACACCTCAGCTAAGCTACTGCATCCTTTGTCTTTGGACTGACACAGCTTTGCACATTGGAGCTTTTGTTTCTTTAATTGCCTAAATGTCATTTGCAAGTGTTGGGGCTTTAATGATACTTAACAGTACAACTTCTAAATGAAGCAGATTCTATCTATCAGCCTTGGTGATAGACTTGGAGAGAAGGTCCTGAGAGTTTGCAAGGGGCAGGAAGAGGGTGGAAATGAGTGCCCCTCAGTGCCCTGTGCCTGGGAGGCCATCAGTGTGGCTTTGCACAGAGGTGCCAGGTGTGAGCACACCCACTGGACCCCCTTCTTCCCAAATGTATTAAACAAACATCCCAACTCTCTGACGGGAATGGAAGAAAGATGCATTGCATTTCAACCACACACTTCATTATTGCTGAATAGTACTGAAGTGCGACATAAGCCCAGCTATTAAAGGATAGTTACCAGCTCTTCTCAGAAAAAAGTGAAGGGAGAGTCAAGGAAGAACCTCTCTCCTGCTTTGGGCTTGTGATAGCTTTTGTAAAATGTTACTTTCCATTTTGTCAAAAAAAGCGCTTTTTAAACGAAGTGAAAATATGAATTTGCAACTGGGCCTTCTAAAACACATTTCATTATTGGAAATCAGGAGTTCCAATATAGGATCTTTACTGAGCAGCCCCAGGCTGGCCAGTTCTGACGTGCATATCTGAGTTCTGCACAGAAGGGGCTGGGCATGCAGGCTCTCCTTTAATTAGGGTTTTGGGCATTAGCTTTTAATCATACAAATGCAAATACATCCTCTAAAATTAACATTTTGGAAGCTTAATCCGTCATGCAACATTGTTGGTAGGCGGAGCCTTTTGGGTAGAGATTAGGTCCTGAGAGCTCTGCCTTCATGAATGGATTTATGTAAGAATGAGTTTTTTTTCTCTTGTTCTCCCCCCTCTTCTACCATAT